TGATTGCGAAGACGATCTATTTTTCGTATACTTTTTAATAATACATAGTAAACAGAGCTGTAAAGTAATAAATATTTTGGAATTTATTACAATTTGGAACAATTACTTTGGAATTAGAAAGTAATTATTTATGTAATTGTTGATTACATCTTTTTTACCATTACCAGTTATTCAATTACTTGGCCAAGTAATCGTTTTGTAGTTGTAATTAAGAATTCACAGCTCTGATAGTAAATCATATACTTTTGTTTAGTCGATGCAAGTAATGTGTAAATTACAACACTAGTATTCGTAACGACTTAATAATTGTATATGGAAAAACTCAATTGGATAAAAATATTTTTATAGCGATCTGTGTACTTAATTCTACTCTACTAATCAGTTGCAATTTGTGACACGTACCTGTAATCCTTAAGTCGTGAATCTATTTCAGTGTCTGTTTATCCGTCAGCGATTGTTGTATCGGTATTCTATTTCGCATCCTTTATTGTGATCACAGACGTGCCATTGAACGAGACTCGAAAAGACTATTTTCCAATAGAGTCGGAATACTTGATCGACGAAGAAAAATACTTCTATTTCCTTGTATTTCATAAGCACTTGTCACTATTCTATTGCGCATCTGTCTTTATAGCCACAGAGACGGTGTACTTCATGTGGCTACAGCATGCAGCGGGCTTGTTTGAAATTACGGGGTAAAAATATCATTTTGCTCGAATTACTAACAAATGTGAAGTGATTTTTTATGGTTGAAAACCATTCCGGTTACGTTTTTCATTTTTAAATGTAATCAAACGGAAGTGAGCGAGTATGGATACATTTTGGTTTGATTTACATTGGTTGCTGAGCTATGAGATCAGTCTTACGTTAATAATAAATTAGTTTTGCCTTTCCTGTATTTTTGTAAGTTGGTTTTCAACCATTGTCGTTCAATCTATGATTGAGACACCCTGAATTTTTCGCTCACAGATCTCTCGAATTGTACGATGACACAAAGATGACTCGCAATCAGTTTTCTAATCGTAACATACTTCAACTAATTATTTGCTGCTATTTACAGTTATTATATCGAAGAAGCAGTTTCTGTGGGATGTGAATGGCCATCTGTTTCGCAAGATTATTTGGATAGAAACAGTACGAGGTGTTTAGTAAGTGCAGTAGTTGCACATAAAAAGGCGACAAAGTCAGTATTCGTTTAACGACATTGTATTACATGTAATGATCAAATTCCGTGCTTCTTTGGTGTAGAGAATTCATATTTTAATAGCCGTTAACACTGCCAATTTCATATTTTAACGCACTCGAACCTTTCTTCTAGGATCCTACGAAAATATATCATTATACAATAATTTTACGTAGCGCATCAACATTACACGATAAATTGACCAAACTATTTTTGTTGTTATCAGAGCAAAAAAGTACAATAAACGTGTCTGTTTAAGCCACTTTATCGGTATTGATATTTAAATAATAATATTAATACAGAATTTTGTCGACTATTTACATACATTCTCCATAGATTTTGGCAACCGAAATATGCTTAAAATTTTCAATTTAGTCTGAACATTAAAGTATAACAATAGCTTGTTAAATACTATTAAATACTATTAACAAATGTATGGTTAGATGTAAGGTGTTCTTATATAAAAACGTTTTCTACAAAACGTTTTCTCGTTGCCCGAGAGAGCCGGATGTTCTCTTATTTTCTTACAACACTTTGCACCTATTTCGTTAATCACTACCGCATGTTTATTATTTTACTTTCGATTAATCTTATCTGCCCGCGAAGGTTCGCCCAAGATTTGAGAGTGAAGTTCGAAGCTTCGTACGCGATTCTCTTTGTTCTCGGTATTCTGTCCTTAAGCATTAATTTTTATCGCGTGAGTAATTAATTCTCTTCGTTTACTTGTCACGTACACTTTCCTTATTGATATTTTCGAGCAAAACTTTTAGGAATAACATACATACAAGAGACGCATTTTTATTAGACGATGCTTCAGGTCACTTCTGTAGGATGTATAATTAAACATGAATATAATTGTTTAGTATTAACAATGAAAACACAAAATTGAAAGAAAGACTACAACAAAGGACAAGTAGTCAAAAATAACTCGAACGAAAGTTAATAATATTGATATTGCGAGATTATTTAGATATACATAATTCCTGGAAAAATAACAAATGAAAATTAATGTTATCTACTAAAATCTGAAGTAAGTAGTATTGTAAACTAATAAAATGGATCGATGTGAATAATCGAAGCCAAACTTCTTTTGCTCGAAAATATCACCAAGTGAGAACCCGTGCTTAATATTATATGTATATTTTTGTAATTATTAAATGATCAACCAGTTAATCGATATATTCCATTTCGTGCTTCTATCCGCGTGTACTCATGCTTTCCAGCTGTCTCAAGCAGTATTTTTGACCCACGATCTCGAAGAGTTCGTGATGTCTCTACTGTTTTCGATTTCCGAGTTGGTGTACATGTTTTACGTAAACTATTTGATACAGCAAATGTTGGATGCCGCGAACAACCTCTCCATTATAATGTAAGCGTTAAACACCACTGACAACTAAACGAAGTTATCTTACACAATTTTTACTTCACGATTATCGTAACATTTACAGATACAATACTAACTGGTACGAATTATCAGTAGCCATACAAAAATTGTTGCTAATCATCATGATTAGGTGCAACGAACCTTTTATTTTCAGTTTTTCTTGTTTCTTTTCCGCATCCATTGAAGGATTTTCCACGGTATATTAATTTTCTTATCGATACCATAAGAGGGGTTGAGTTATCATTTTCATTGGAGCTTCCTTTGCAGCTTCTAAAGAATACAGTATCCTATTTTATGATGATGTCATCCTTCGAGACTTAGGACAAATTTTCCTGGCCTAGCAATAGCGGAATTACTAGTGAAGCAACAGTAAGTTGAGGAAAGAATTGTTTTCTTTTCTTTTATTAATGGAACATTGTTGAGAATCTTTTGCACTAAAATGCATTCTTTTCAGGATCTAATGCAGCATTGTACAAAGTATAGATTAAAATAGCGCAATTTAAACAAATTTTAATTAATTAACGTTTTTCTTTAAACGTGTATCGTGTACCGTAACATGAACTTGCAATAACCATTAATTTACAAATGACAAATCCATATAGTAACTATAGTCAAACTCATGCAGGACTATTCGCAGTGTCACCTATACAACAAGAAACGTTGGTATAATTTTCCCCAAAAGTGATGGGAAAGTTGTTTGATCCAGTTGTTTGATGGGAAAAATGGATGGAAACATGTACAATGAACGTGACAACGATCTTAACCACGTATATGTTATGATTCCTTTTTATCTTCTTCAAATAGTAAAATAGTCAAATAGTTGTTAATAAAATTGGTAGATAAATCAACTAAAGACTGGAATCGAGTATATACAGTGTGTTTTGTTCGAATCATAATAGTTAAATATCTCATGTAAATAATTTTATTTTAAGTGAAGTAGTGGGAGAGATTTAACAAACAAATTAATTTGTTTAAAATGGAACCTTGAATATTTTTGTCCATAATACAATAGCATTTGTTTAGAAAAATTCATGGATCTATAATGCATGGCCATTTATTCTACTGCAAAACTCTAAATTGGCAAAAGATTTGAATGACGCGCGTATTGAGTTCGGAGGATGTGTATCATGATAAGTCCTTACAGAAAATACAAAAATATTTATTTTTCTCAACTTCTCTGATATGACATAGAGAAATTGCACCCATCGCATTCCAAGCGGAGAAAAATATCGCACGTGCAAAATTGTGTCTTTTAAAAGACACGCGACAGTCGAGGGTGCGTTCTCAGTTCACTAATAATATTATGCACCCTCGATTGTGGAGAAGAATTGCAATCATATCGATCTTTGCTTGGGATGGTGGAAACCGTGGTTAAATTACAATTCCTGCCACTCACGTTCCGCCACCTTTCGTGACAACCTAACGTTTCGAAGCTATAAAATCAATATAAATAAAGGTTTGTGTTAGAAGGGTTGATCAAGTTTTCATTATTTCCCACCATTAGATTCTATATTCCGAATATCTCTAAAATAGTTTTTTCGAATTCATTGGAATCATATATTTCCATATATGTGTAAGAGCATATAACAAGTTAATGGGCACGAAAACGGTATCGCCATCTCGCGGCGGTGTCCGAACTAATTTTTCATATTTATTCCTTAATATATATTATATTATTAAATAAAAAAATACAGAAAAATGTGGCGCCATCTCTCAGCGTACCGCCCAAGTTTGTCGTGAAATAGTTTTCACCTACTGCCGCTAGATGTCGCCACGAACATAATATTATTTAAAACATGAATTCTCTCTTTTTCTCGGCATATAACTGTAATTTTACATCATAATTATCATCATTCAACATCCAATTGTTGATTTGAAGACTAATAATTGACTGACATCAAATATTTAAATACATGAAATATAAAAAATGTGGCGCCATCTCTCAGCAAACCGCCCAAGTTTGTCGTGAAATAGTTTTCACCTACTGCCGCTAGATGTCGCCACGAACATAATATTATTTAAAACATGAATTCTCTCCTTTTCTCGGCATATAACTGTAATTTTACATCATAATTATCATCATTCAACATCCAATTGTTGATTTGAAGACTAATAATTGACTGACATCAAATATTTAAATAAATGAAAATATAAAAAAATGTGGCGCCATCTAGCGACGAAAAGATGGAACTATTTCACGATAAACTTGGGCAGTTCGCCGATAGATGGCGTTACATTTTCTGTATTTTATTTATTTAAATAACTAGATGAAGCGAATTGTTAATGTACAAATCATTACTTAGATGTTGAATTATGGTAATTATGATGTACAATATGGTGAGAAAAGAAGAGAATTTATGTTTTGAATAATTTCATGTTGGTTGCGACATCTAGCGGCATACCTGTGTCGGTTGAGGGCTGCGACTCTTGCTTCCTCTCTTCCTCTCTTCCTATAGTTTATCGAAACCGCGAAGTACTTTAGTTTGTTGTTGTTCGTGAACACTTGTGGATTTACTTATTTATTTCCAAAATGCCAGCTTCACTGAAATATATTGAAGTAGATAATTTTAAATCGTACAAAGGAAGACTCATTATAGGACCTCTTAAACCATTTACTGCAGTTGTCGGTCCTAATGGCTCTGGTAAGTTACGTTGGCAAGTTTACGATTTACGCGGCGTAGTGATCTGGCTATGTTTTTATTTAATACAATTTGTTACGTTTACTTTATAAATTATATTCATTATTCATATGGTATTATCAAATTCCTTCTATACAGGAAAGTCGAATTGCATGGATGCAATTAGTTTCGTTATGGGAGAAAAGACAAGTAGTTTGCGTGTGAAAAGATTAAGCGAGCTGATTCATGGTGCATCAATAGAAATGCCAGTCGCTCGCAGGTATTTTTTATTTCTTGCATTAGACTACAAGTACATAAGTTTGTATGTCACTTTCCAAGAAATTTGGAATTTAAAAATATTTTCATTTCAAGCCATTACACTTCTTGTCAACATTGTTATGAACGTATAATAAATTTGAAATTTATATGAATTACAGTGCATCCGTCACAGCAGTCTTCGAATTAGAAGATGGTACAGAAAAGAGTTTTATGCGTTCTGTACAAAGCTCATCCTCAGAATATAGAATAAATAATAATGTTAGTTTAATATAATTTTCAATAAGTATTGAATTATTTAACTGTTTAATAAATAGAATATTTTGAACAATTTTTACCTTTCATGCATAGATTGTTACCAGCCAAGTATACCTAAACGAGTTAGAACAGTTAGGTATTAACGTCAAAGCAAAAAATTTTTTAGTATTCCAAGGGGCTGTTGAATCAATAGCTATGAAAAATCCAAAAGAACGTACTGCACTTTTTGAAGAAATCAGTAATTCTGGGGTGTTGAAAGCAGAATACGAAAGATTAAGAACAGAAATGCTGAAAGCAGAGGAAGAAACGCAATTTTCATATCAAAAGAAGAAAGGAATTGCTGCAGAAAGAAAAGAAGCAAAATTAGAGAAAGAAGAAGCCGAAAAATATCAACGATTGAAGGAAGAGTATGTTGAAAAACAAGTTGAGTTGCAATTGTTTCGTTTATTTCATAATGAAAAATCTATAGAAAATTTAGAAGTTTTACAAAAGAAGAAACAACACGAAATAGAAAAAATTGAAAAAAAAAGAGAGAAAGCAGAGGAATTATTAAAAGAAAAAAAGAAGGAAGCTGGTAAATTAACACGTGATCTTGCTAAAATAGAACAAGATATTCGAGAAGTAGAAGCTGAAATTACAAAGAAAAGACCTACGTTTATTAAAGCTAAAGAACGAGTTGCACATATGCAAAAGAAAGTCGAATCTGCTCGAAAATCGTTAGCACAAGCGCGCACTGCAGACGAAGCTCACAAGAAAGATATACATGAACTTCAAGAAGAATTGCGGCAAGTTGAGGAAGCTAAAGCAGCTTACGAAGCAAGCATAGCTGGACAGTCACAATTGCAGGGTAGAGACGTGCAATTGGAAGATGAACAGGTTAAAGAATACAATCGCTTGAAAGAGGAAGCAGGCAAGCAATCTGCAAGATACTTACAACTCCTTGATTCAATTAATCGCGAACAAAAATCTGATCAAGACAGGCTTGATAATGAAGGAAGAAAGAAGACTGAAATCGAAAATAAACATAAACAAAGAGGACACGAGCGAGACGAAGCTCTTAAAAGAGTAGAAAAGCTAGAAGAACACATACGAACATCCGAAGCCGCGTTAGAAGATCAGAAAAAATTAAGAGGTGATTTACAGTCCGATGTTCGTACTTCAAAAGACAGAATACAGACCATTCAAAGAGAATTAGAAAATATTTCCGAACAACTTGGCGATGCTAAAGTTGATAAACATGAGGTATCAAGAAATAAAAAGAAAACTGAAATTGTCGAGAATTTTAAACGTCTTTTCCCTGGCGTGTATGATCGCATGTACAATATGTGTCAACCTATCCATAAGAGATACAATGTTGCCATCACTAAAGTTCTTGGAAAATATATGGAAGCAATTGTTGTGGATACTGAAAAAACAGCAAGACAATGTATCCAATATTTAAAAGAGCAGTATCTTGAACCAGAAACATTCCTTCCACTGGATTATATTCAAGCGAAACCACTGAAAGAAAGACTAAGGAACATACAAGAACCCAAGAACGTAAAATTATTGTACGATGTTTTACATTTCTCGCCTAAAGATATCGACAGGGCCGTCTTATTTGCTACAAATAACGCTCTCGTATGCGAAACACCCGAAGATGCAAACAAAGTAGCCTATGAGATAGATAAAAAAGCAAGATATGATTGTGTTGCATTGGACGGAACATTTTATCAAAAAGGCGGAATTATATCCGGTGGCAGTTTGGATTTGGCCAAGAAAGCAAAAAGATGGGATGAAAAACAGATGTCACAACTTAAGACACAAAAAGAAAAATTAACGGAAGAGCTACGCGATTCTTTGAAAAAATCACGAAAAGAATCAGAATTAAATACAGTTGAATCTCAAATACGCGGTTTGGAAACACGTTTAAAATATAGTAAAAGCGATTTGGTTGCCACTCAAAAGCAAATTGCAGAACTTGAAGTGAAATTAGATTCTCTTCAAAATGAATTGAATATGTTTGGTCCAACAATAACTGCGATTGAAACGACAATGGCGGAAAGAGATCAAGAAATACAAAATATTAAAGAAAAAATGAATAATGTCGAGGACGATGTATTCGCTAGCTTTTGTGAACAAATAGGCGTATCTAATATTCGTCAATATGAAGAAAGGGAATTACGATCGCAACAAGAAAGAGCAAAGAAGAGAATGGAGTTTGAAAATCAGTGTAATCGCATTTACAATCAATTAGACTTTGAAAGACAACGCGATACGGAGAATAACGTTTTGCGCTGGGAACGTGCTGTTCAAGATGCGGAAGATAAACTTGAAACTGCACGACAAACTGAATCGAAACAAAAGGCAGAAATAGATAACGATGAGACTCAAATGGAACAACTGAAAACAGAACGAAATGCAAAGAAACTAGAAGTTGATCAAAAAGACGACGAAATAGGTAAAGCTAGGCGTGATGTTGGAGCAATTGCAAAGACTATTCAAGCTGCTCAAAAACAGATGAATGGTATCGAGTCGAAAATTGAACAAATAAGAGCCGAACGCCATGCTATTTTAATGCAGTGCAAGATGGAAGATATTGCAATTCCGATGCTCCATGGAAATATGGAAGATATAGCTCGCGAATCTACGACTAATAGCTCAGAAACCAGTAACGACTTATCGTCTAGTACTCTGCAACAATACGAACGTGAAAGACAAATTACTATAGATTATGAGCTTCTTAGCGACAGATTAAAAGATTTAGATGAAGATTGTGTTAAAAAAACATATGACAAACTAACAAAGATGATTAATGATTTGCAAGGTACTATTCAACGCATTCAAGCCCCCAATATGAAGGCAATACAAAAATTACATCTTGCAAAAGAGAAATTACAAGAGACTAACGAAGAATTTGAACAATCTCGTAAGAAAGCAAAAAAGGCAAAAACACAATTTGAGAAAATAAAGAAGGAAAGACACGACAGATTTATGGCCTGTTTCGAGCATGTAGCTAACGAAATTGATCCGATTTATAAGGTCAGTTTATATTTATATTTAAATAGACAATCTACACATACATTGTAAACAGAAGTTAAAATAATATATGAAAATTTACATTATATCAGAGTTTAGCAAAAAATCAATCCGCTCAAGCATTTCTTGGCCCTGAGAATCCAGAAGAACCTTATTTGGATGGTATTAACTACAATTGTGTAGCACCAGGGAAACGATTTCAGCCAATGTCTAATCTATCTGGAGGAGAAAAAACTGTTGCAGCATTAGCTCTATTGTTTGCAATTCATAGGTAATTATGTATATATTATTTTGGTCCTTCATTGTTTTTATTGTATTCAAGGTATAATCTAATTTTGTTATAATTACAGTTTCCAACCTGCACCATTTTTTGTCTTGGATGAAATTGATGCTGCCTTAGATAATACTAATATCGGAAAAGTTGCCAGTTACATACGCAATAAAACAAGCTCCTTACAAACTATTGTTATATCTTTGAAAGAAGAATTTTATTCGCATGCTGATGCGTTAATTGGAATTTCCCCTGACGTACGTTCATATTTATATATGGTTTCTGTTTTATATATTTTAAAATTTGTTAATATCTTTTCCTCTAAATCATAGGTTGGCGAGTGTTTGGAAAGCAAAGTATTAACAATGGACTTGACTGCATTTCCTTCACAAAATAATAAATAGAATATATATATTTTTAATTCATAATTGACATATGTTGTCAAGGTCACTCCCTTGAATAACATCCAAGAGATTTTAGCCGTCGTTTGTTCTTTATTAAAAAGTTATTAGAATATAAAAATCATATAATAAGTCGATAATGAATAGATGGTTACTGTGGTCTTAATATAAGAAACAGTTGAGGAGTATGTAAAATGAAAATTTAATCAGTATTTAAATTCTTTTAAATAAAATTTCTGCGACGTAATTCGTATAATGATATTCACGAATCCTATAGCGATGAATATTTGGTCTCGTATCCCTCCACAATCTTTTCATATTTTATGTGGGAACACCAGTTTGAGGATCTATAAAATTTTCTGTATTCCAATTTGTTTACTAAAACTTGTTTACTATCTCGCTCGGTACCATCGAAAATCCATTGTTCTTGTATTACACCCCCTCTCTTATACTTTCTCTTGCCTATTTTGGCCTCATCTATTTCAACAATTTTATGCGGTCCACCAATTACCGCAAATAAGTACATAGTGTGAAATGATAACTGTATGTCATATGTTACCTCTCGACAAAATTCTGACCAATCGACTACATCTCTATCGTTTAGTTCCAGCTCGTTCATTAAACAGTCATGTCGTGGTGATTGTACCAACAAAAATTAGCCAATAAATCGATATATTTTTAAATTGAAATTAGTTGTAATTTTGAAATTGCATATCACTCTTCGTAGCTTTCGATCTTTTGTAACTTTATAATAGGTGTTCGTGCAATGAAATAAACGATTTCCGGAAGCATTAGCTAGAGCTAAGTCATTCTAACACTTTGGACATATTCTGCTATGAACCACTTTCTTCTCATACAAAAAGTTCCATAAGGACTCATAATTATACGCCATCTTGATAAATTCATGTAAATAATGCATGCTGGTAATACAGAAAATTTAGAATTGACAGATACACAGCTATGTGACATATAATATTGGACGTATTATCGTATACAAACCATTTAGTATTCATATTAGTGTTTGTTGAGTGTCTATAGCTTATTCCATACAATATCTGTAGATAGAATAATGTAGCAAAATTGCTACGGAAACGGCATTAGGAATATCTGCTTTATCACCATCGATTCTAAAGGAACCTGCAAAACCGCTGAACCTGTTTGATCATTGTTACATATAATTATAGAAACATTTCTTTCTCACATTATAGCAAGTTGTTACTTTATTTTCAGCTATCAATTACCCAGGTAATTGTCTACTGACATTTTTTAAACGGAAATCAAATTACTTTACCTACCTCGTTTATCCACCAGGTTTGCCGTATAAGGGTTTCGCAAACTATCTGCAATGTGGCGCCACTTACACCACGTACCCTTGGAATAACGTTGTCAGCGGGCAGGCGCTGAACTGCTCTTTCGGTGGCTGCGTGAGGGAGGAAGAGCGAAACAGAGAAAGACCGAGATTCAAACTCGAAATCTAACGAGGAACTCTCAGAGCCGCGCAAGTGGCCGCGCGATACGGCACGGGTGTTTGAAAACGATTGATAAGAGCACCGCGCACCATGTGTACTAAGAAAAATGCAAAATTTTTGTGGATTCTTTGTGTCGTATTGGTTTTTCTCGGACTCGGCCTGCCGTTCGGTGAGTAAACTGATTAGATTTCATCGGATTTTATCGTTTCAAAAAGATGTCAGAAAAATATCAGACAATCCGCCGGTCGTCTGATGAAAGCTCGTTCGTTTAGTGGCGCATATTTTGTTTTGTGTGAGTTATCGTGTATTCGCAATAATTTCGACGAATTAAATAAAATCAAATAAAACATCATCACTTGCAAAGGTATTGGATAAGCATTAAACGCTCTGGATAGCTGGCTTAAAATCATCTTCGTAATTTAGTAAAAAGTATAGCGAGTAACTAGTATTCGGGCACTTTGCAATTCGTACTGTGTAATAACTTTGTCTAGAATGAAGGATAAAGTGATTCGAATATTGTATTAAAACGATGGGTCTAGTTAATTATGTACAAAGATTATCCATTTCATTTATAATGGTTTTTATCAAAGAAATCTCTATCAAAATAATGTCTAATTTTTACGTTACTTTAATATTTGAATGCATACTAAAATTCTAATATTTCGTCGGGTATCCTTTTTTACGAATAACATCTTTTCTATTTCAATATTGCTTGTTGATGTTGTTAATTTATTAAGAATATTATGAATTAAATACATAAACTCTATACTTTTACTAGCTAGACTCGTTGTACCTCAATTACTTTATATTTTATCATAGATAAAGTTACAAAGCGACAAAATGAAAATGTTAAGTATCCGAATATTAATGTGGCTCAATGTATTTGAGTACGTATTTGATCAGCCAGAGTCACTACATGCGCACATGTTATATTGGAGTCATTGAATTCGCGTAATTTACCCATCAATAGTTTGAAATTATGTTACGATGGAATTTGTTGAAATTTGTTTTTAAGTGAAATTCTTAAAATTGTTTCGAACTATAAGTTGAAAACGTTTAATGCTTGACGAGATCATTTGAAAATAATGCTCTTCATTTCAAATACGGGCACATTGCTTCGTTCGAATGTTGTTGGAAGTTAAATCGAAGAGTGTAGAGTTCGTTACTGGATATTCATTTAAAAGAAAGAAACGCGATTCTAGAAACTAAAAGAAAATGGCTTTAATTGGATAAATATGAGAATTTTCCAAGATACAACGCATGTGTTAGTGAAAACTGGTGGAGTAGTGATTTAATTATTTGGCGACGTTACTCAAGAATCTTATCTCGTCTTGAGCACGACAAGAACAAAATAATTTGACGAGTATACTCGCGCAAAGCACCGAAAAGTTTAAACGTGAAAGTATAAGACGCGGTACAGAGCAGAGTAATCGAACAAGCAGAGAAAATGTAGTAATGGATATTGCATTCGATACCACTCAAAACCTTTCGTTGAAATGTCGTAAATTGCACCGCGATCAACTTGTCAAGATGTTCAACGTTTGGTGCTGTTCCAATACAAATTCCATGGAGGTTTGGATGACCTTCTTGAAATTCGCATACTCGGACGAGCGGACTGTCAGATGCAACGACTCCCTTTGGTATATTAAGCGCGTAATATCTACGAGCTCTCGGACGAATGAATTTCCGTACAAAGTGTACTCCGGAGAATATTTTATCGTCCTCTGGATGCCATGAAATACGGAGAATAGCTATTTTATGCACTTTTGGCATGCACCGCTGCTCTCGCCAAATTTTCGCGAGGAAAATATCGTTTAGATAAGAATTTTCTGTGGATCTAATCGAAACCTCTCGACCACAGGTCTAAAATCCTATCATTTCGATGTTGTCTCAAATAATCCAATTTGACAGCTTCGTACGACCAATTCCTTTCTCGAAGATCTACAAATCTTTACACGTATCCGTTATCTCAGAATTTTCCTGGACATTGAGCAATATCTATGTATACAGCTATTATGATTGTTTCTCTGCAGGTTATCGCTTTTCGAATTTGTAAACAGTAAACTCGATTATTTGGATATTTGATTATTGAATATAATCGTAGTTAAAACGAAACCCTTTCCTCGGTGCATTTTCTAATTTTTCGTCATTTTTTATTTCAAACATGAAATTGCAAATGAAACAGGGCAATATTTATCTGAAAAGAGAATGGTTACGAAGAAAGCATTATAATATACAACAAATGATGTTTGCTTATAACTTTTGTATAAACGGAGCAATGTTCGATCGGATTTCAAATGTCTCCGAACTAGGCGCTATATCGCTTGGCGCGATAAATCGCCATTGAAAATGGCAGAGGGTGACTGTCGCTCTATTTCGCATCTTAGCTTAAAATGTAATATATTATTAAATAATTTTATTTAAAATGAATATATATATATATATATATATATATATATATATAATTAATACAACACCGAACGAATTCAACCGTATCACGTGGTGATTAGTGTAACGAGCTGTATTCTATCGAAGTTGTTATTCAAAATAAATAAGGTTATGGACCCAGCAATCCAATTAACATCAAACTTTGCCCCTTAATGTTGAAAAATTTCAAGTTTTTTTCTGGTTGACGCTGGCGTCTCACGTATGGCGACGCAATCGCTCGAAACGCCAGTGTCAAGCATCAAATGAAAATGTGCTGTTATTTTCTCACAGTTGGTTTACATTAGTTTGGGAGGGATAATGATTTCATGAATTTCCAAGTAGATTCAAGAATTCACCGATTACATACAGAGTGTCCCAAAACTCGCGTAGGAGCCGGAAATGGGGGGTAGCTGAGACGATTCTGAACAACATAATTGTCTCCCGGACTATTATCCTGACAACATAAAATTCAACTAAAATATTCGACTGTCGGAGAGTGTGCAAAGAAAGACAATGTTGTACAGGTATAATGTCCATTCAGATGGTTTCATCTCCAGATGTAAATTGATTAACGCGTTGACTGCCATGGATTCACATGGAAACGTTTACAGAACTAAAATTTTGTCTCGAGACAATCAGAAACTGTAGAATCTAACATTTGTCGTATTACTCATTTTAGTATTCTCATCAAAATTTACGAATTCTATCCAGATCAGTTTCCATCAACACTTAGTCCTTGAAAACATTTGTTGAAGTTCCTTAGCGAAAAGCTCCGTCATCCGTATGTGGGTGACGCGGCGTTCAAAGTGTTAAACAATTTCCGTATTCTGACCGAACGCGTCTCATTACGTGAACCGATATTGGCGCAGAAATGCTCGTTCCATCGTGGTTTTCTTCATCGATCATTAACTCTCGCGAGTATTCCGGATACATCGACAAAGCACCGCCGGCTATTCGATTACTCCCGATCCCGCGAGAGATCCTTTTTCTCTCTCCTTTGCGCAAAATGAAATTTCTTCGTTCGGGCGCTGCAATACTGCTGCAAATCGTAGCTCTTAGTCGTCACGACGCGGAAGTAAGACCTGATAAGGGGTACGAAGGCGATTTTAGTCCAGCGTGTCAGTGAAAAACCTCGCTGATGAAAAAATTCCATTACGTTGTCCGACTCGGTGTTCTTACAAGGAGGAGATAAATGCTGTTGTGTTGCATCTTAGGCCGTGTCGCTGAATACGAGCGCAACGATTGAAACAATTCACGGGACAGAAATTGCTTGCTTTTGTTCGATCGTAAATGTGAATCGGGCCGTCCTTATTTAATATTTTCCCCGGATTTACGACCAATTCTGGCCTCGATATTCTGCAACGTGGTGTTACGACTTTTCAGAAAAAAGGAATTTTTGCCTTTGGAGGTTCGGGTGTTTTCATTTTATTCAGACATATTCAGACACTAATAATTACGAATGTCGTGACTCGTATTTTTCAGATAAATCAATAAAATCGTTTATAATTTTTAGGAAGATTATTAGCTTATACATAACAAACTATTACCCATGAACTTTTAAAAGAATTCGTTGAGTTTTGCAGGAGATATACATATACAGGGTGTTCCAAAAATGTTGGAGGTCCTTGAAAGAGGTGGTTCGGTGTTTTATTTAATATGCAAACATTTTTTTTATTACTAGAGACTTTTTCTACCATTAAAAACAAGCGAATTATTCAGGTGGACCTGACCCTGCACACCATATTTTGGTTTGTTTTTTCTTTTAATTTGAATGGGAATCGTCAAAGTAACGTGCAATTTTTAAATTGCGCTCGCGTAACTTTTTCCTTTGTGACTATTAACAAAATTGGTTAGACTTACAATGTCTCTTTGAAGCAGACATACGAGATCGAAGAGTTAAATGTTATTTTTACATCAATTTTACATGCGTCGTGCAGAGAAGACGCTGTCAGAATTTACTTGAAGTACTAATTCTGTAAAAACTGTTATTCTCATGTGAAAATGAAATCTATTATTAAAATTGTATATGTAAGACGCGTAATTACAGTTTCGAGAGACGCTCGAAATTACAATCGAATCAAACTAGATGAAAAGTACGCTTTATAGAAGTTCACATTTTATCGTGGTTAAATGTGAACTTGTTCGAGAATGAAAGTAGTACGTAGTGATCGAGGGATGTACGTTTATTCCGTTAATGTTGTTTTCTTATTGACATACTGACAGTGAGAAAATCAAAAAGTTGTACTTCAATTCCGCAGATCTCTGGCGCGTCTCGCAGAGCGTATATATATAGAAGCACAGTACCGAGAAACGAACGGTAAAATTGAACACGCGCTATTTTTGAGGGACTCATTGTCGGTCAATAGTGTTTCTAAATGTTCAGGTGCAACAAGAAAGTGGTGTTCTACGAGGTAACCTCTCAATGAAACTTTATCCGACTATTAAATCTTGCGAGTGGAATACGTTTACGTGATCTTGTTTTAAAAAGTTGGATATTGAAACTTATTTATTATTATAAATTATGAACTCAGCAACAGCAGCCACCACCGCAAATTTAAAAACGATTTACACCATGGTGGAATGACGATTATAAAACCGCTCTTCAAAAGTGCCACCATGCATTTAATACAGTCAAAACACAGCCCATTACTGAAAACTTAATCAATTTCAAAAAGCTTCGTGCTACAGAAATTTCGCATACCAAATTAAATTTGCTTCTAGACCTAAATCAAGAAGAAACGAATGATTTAGAATCGAAAGTGAAAGACATCTCTTTTACATTTTATTTTCAAGAATGTAAACATAGAAGACCGTCGTAACTGAATTACTGCATGATTGTTTTTAGTTCATTGGAACTTGCTACCAAAGCAAACTAGTTCCATAAAATCTGGAACAGGATCGCAGCTGCGTACGAATGCGTTCGTAAAATCGATTTCGTTAGCTCTCGAGGATCCCAGCAGCACGAAAGTATCTCTTCCGCTTCGGTCTTAATTACATGTTTGGTTAACGAAACCAGCTCTTAAATCAAGTAAACCGCGGCAAGTGTTGTGGATACAGAAGGTCTATACTTTCCTACCGTTAGATACTTGGAAACTACTTTCAACTTAATCGAGAGACGAGCGCACCCGTCCTAAAATCCACCCCATCCGTTAACATTAACTGGGAGACGTGTTACAATTTTCCATTTGCGCGTTACTCTCGGGAGCAAAGAATTGGTGGATTCTTTCAAGTTTGCCGAGATTCGCCAACCGAGAGATTTTTATTGAAAGACATCGTCAATCGATCGATCTCACTGATACCTTCTTCTGTAGACAGATTGTTTCGTTCTTTCCTTTGTCTCTTCTTTTGCCTGGATAGCTTGAAGAGTTTCAGGATTCCGAGATTTGTTAGAACTTATTGCAAGGAAAGAGAATTTATATCGAGGAGAATATTAGTAACTGCTGAATGACTAGTGATATTAATCAAATATCTTAAGTTTAATATACCCATATAACTTCTTCGGTCAGAATTCTTGTCTTCTTCGGCTATTTTTGTCCTTCAATATTAACACGCACTTTATACGTGTATAATTACATTATCTTTATTTTGAACATGCTAAGTTTTCTTAATTCTGACAAAGGATAAAAATTATTCTGAATTTTCAGACTTATCAAGGAGAAATGAAAGTATTGAGAAAATTATTCTGAATATTATTAAAGAAACTTGGACAGAATATAAAATAACTTTCAGTTAAAATATTTATTCGATGAAAAATAAGTTACTGTTCGAACGCACCTCATGTGAAGTGCTAAATACTGACCCGTTTCATGCTAAGCGTTTTTCCGAGGAGCATTTGCCCTCCACTGCTAGTCTTTCGAATTTTTCATTGTACCGATGTACAGTGGTTAACCATATATTTCACGGAATCAAGTTCTCCTGCGTTAAAACGAAGAATAATTTCGGTATTCACGGGTTCCTCGAGTCTGCGCCGGCACAACGTCTTAATTACCCGCTCAGGTAAGCTGGTGAAAAGAAGAAAAAGGAGAGACGGTGTATACGAAAGGGGAACGGAAAGTCTTACCTCGGCATTTTCAGGAGCCTTAAGTACTCTGAACTCTCTTCTAAGTAAAGCACGGAACTATACTTTTCTTTGCGTAGTTCGCGACCCTGGAAGTTAATCTACAACTTTAAGAGCAAATGAGAGAAAGAGGAAAGGATGGACGCCGACGGGCTGAAAAATATCTCGGTTCACGCCGCTTCTGCAGAGATATTACATCTTACTGCATGTAATGGTTTCGAGGGGGGCTTGTAATTTAACGGCGTTCGGATGCCAAGAAATTAAATGGAACTTTCTTCGATTTTTTGCTATATAACGCATTCATTCCCTTCACCTTAATTAGTCTATAATTAATAAATGAATGGCACTCGTCGGAATATCTACCGCTCGACTGATCATATTTAAACGGTGACAAGAAATAGGCCAAGCTGTATTCAAATCATGACAAATGAAACCAACTTATTGTCATTCAATATTCCTTCAATCGAACGATTACATTTTCATATTTTTGTTGGCAAATATTTCACTGTATAATTTAGACTCTTATTATTATACACGTATACGAATAAATGGTTGCTTAATTTTCATTCGTCGTACGACATATTTTAATCAATATTAGGATTTTGTGGAAAGAAGAAATTTCGAAGGAAGAAGTTTTAATTTCAAAAAATGAATATTTGATCAAAAATTAATTTCTCACAAAGAATTAATCGATGCGGGGTTCGAATACGTTGCAATTAGTCATTTTGGTCATTTTATTAAATGTTCAAAATGACATCCGTTGTCTTTCAGACATTTATTAATTTTTTTAATCAAATTCGTACGAACATCTGGCAACATTGTTTCATTAATTGATGGACAAACGACGAAAATTCTGGGTTTTATATCATTTTCAATGTAGGAGTAGTGGCCGTTACTTGATTCTTCATGAACCCTCATATAAAAAGATGCAGTGATGTTCTGCACTTCCAATCATTTCCAAATTGTTCATCTAATAATTGCCGTGTATTCCTATCAGAGTGTGCTGAAAAGAAGGAGGGAAGTAATTATGTATAAATAAACACAAGTAAGCATTTCATCATTTCCCGGAGGTAAATTCGCTTGGCGTAATGTCTCGCGTCGCGTGATAAAATCTAAAACCGTGGTCGGTGTGTGCCCTGACCTGAAATTCCTATAAACGCTGCTTTGTCAATGGAGTTTTATACAAGTTGATGATCTCACACAAATTTCTCGATGGGTTACGTGACAAGTTTCATTTCTCACACTAGTCGCGGCGACATAATTCTCGTCCCACGTATTTCGAATCGCTGGCGTGCTACTTTTCCAAATACTTTTTCAAGAAAAGTATAACTTTGCATTATACTAGAACGCAGTTCCGACAGATTCTTTTACAATTTTCACCCCTATAATGTTTTTTTGACATTTTATACTCTTGTGTTGTTTTTTTTTTTTTAAAAAAAAGCTGTAGAAAAATGATTTGACACTAAGTGGTGGAAATAGAACGAGTTCGGTTCACTTTTCCATTAGATCGGTTCTTTGAGTATTTAACATGATTTAAATGTGTAACGAAGAAGCGTTACATTATTTGTTTTTTATTTGTGGAGGTAGAGAAAAAGCTCATTCAACTACTTAAACATCTTCAAACATCAATACAAATCAAAAATGTACGAAATACCAAAAAGGTACAACAGAGTAAGAGCAATAAATATAATACGACTGTTTAAACACTTTTATTCTCACGAACAGTTCAGACGGTCTCGAGTGCCCTAACAACGGACGCCAAAAACTGTTTCCTATTGCGTACTCCAGCAACAAAAAGTTCGGTACACTAAACAGTTCCTTCCAGTTCGTTCCAATTATACGGCGGGAAGTTTCCTCGCAACGATTGCCCATTATAATGCCGCGTTTGAAAAGATTGCAGCGGCTCGCTCATAAGCAAATTGCATCAGTTGGCGAAACGTTCCGAGTAGCGATTTCCGCGAGCATCGCCGCGCGAAACGACTATGCGAGCCGTCACTTTTGTTTCACGGTGCCTTTTGCTTTAACCGTTCGTTCCCATCCCGTCGGCGTCGGTTCAAAAAGTTCAATATCGAGCTGAAAAGCTGTCGAGTAGAGTGGCAACGGTGGGGGTGTATGCAAGTGCCATTCCCGGCAGTTCAAAGTAGCGCGGGTTTCCATTGACTTCCGGTCGAAGTTCGAAGCGGAACCAAAGGGAAGTTCCAAGATCTGAAACTGCGAGAACTTTCTACATAGACCAGATGAAAGTTTCTCGAACCCCGGAAATGGAAATTCTTCTACGCCTCTGTTCCCGTCAAGAACGGTGTATCGCGGCCAGACTTCGATTCCGTTTCTCATCGTTTTTTATTTACATTTTTACCCCTTCGTTTTTATATCGGATGCTTCGTATCCGTCAGAGAGTGAGCACAGGTCGATTTCGATGTTCGTAGGAAGCTGTCAAAATGCGGAACCGCGGGAATCGTTCGGCAGGAAAAGCGTCGCGAGGAAGATAGACGTGCTGCGGGACGAGTTGCAGGCTGACGATGCCGATCAATCGTACACGTAAGTATTGTATCGTCTAGAGATTCAGAAACTTTTTAGACCCGTGGCTCCCTTAGTATACAGATTATTTTCGGTGACTCCTTTTACCCTTTGCGGTCGTATTAAATTTAGGCGTGGCTATTGTACTGGTCGGAATTAATTTACGAGGAACGAGCAGTGATACATAATTTGCAAGCTTATGAAGGTTGAATAAGATTTATTAATTTTTTTGTGGACTTTAGATATATGCTTACGCAACAATGTGTTTTAATGTTACGTTTTTATGTAAAAATTATATTTTATCGTTCTCCATCATGTGGTATCTTTCGCTAACTTTCTCCTTGCCGTTAGAAAAAAAAGAATTTTAAATATTCCCGTTGAAAAATTGAATTTTGGCCATAAAATACCGCTTTTTAAACACTGTGCTACATACGCGTCGTTATCCATGTCGAAGAGAGAAGGGTGTACAAAGTATAATCTTTTCCTTTTGCTGAGAAACGAAAAAAAAAAATAAAAAAAAAACGCTTGGTTGTGTTGTCCATTAGCTGGGATGCGTCTCGCGAGAGCAAAAAGGTACTCGATGAGAACGGGAGTTCTCTCTCGTCTCGGAACGCGGCAGAGGTGCCGGAGACTGAAGCAGAAACGACGCCTCGGGCTGACGGTAAGAGGAACAAGGTCCTTGTTCCCACAGAAGATGCATCTACTAATTCATCCCTTCGGTCGCCCGTGAATAGCAGTGAGTAGAAACATTTGCTTTCCAAATCGGCTCGAATCAACAGCCAACACCTGCATGTAACGTCGGACAGAAACGAACAAAATTTAAATCGTATAATATATAAATAAATGTATAGCAATTTAGTATCAACGTTTTTTTCGCAATTAGTAATCTGACACCTTTTTAGACAAGGATAGAATTGAACTTTTTGTTCTGAACCGTACGATATCAGAATTAGGAGGTTCGTATTTCACCACTGTAAATATGCTAGGCGAATAATTACCCTTTCCAGCGCCAACGTCGACGAGTCGTCGGAAGGGAAACGGCGGCGACAGAGCCCGCAAAAAACGTCGCAGAGGCAAGGAGTCCAAGACCGGTGACGTGGACCGTCAACGTGAATCCACGGAAGATGTTCGCGAGAACGAAGTCAGAGGGAAAGGTGGCGGTCAGTCGAAGAAATCAAAAGACTCTCCAGGGAGAAGGTATCGCGCCGAGCGACGAAGAAGAAGGAAGAATCGCGACAGAAAACGGGGAAGGAAGAGATCCAGACAGAACGAAACGAAAACCGAGGGGCAGAGGGCTTCCAAGTTCAAAAGACGAATGAACGATGCACCGGCCGCGTTGGTTCTCGAAAAACTGGATGGTCCCGCGATCGAAGACGTTCTCAACTACAATTCTTCGAATTGGAGAAACGAGCAGTCATTTTCAAATAGCTCTGTCCCCGATTTCCCTAACGTCACGGCGTCGTTAAATCTTCAGGATCAGTTAACCACAGAGGCTACCAAACGATCCGCACAGACGACCTCGCGTTACAAAAACTACGAGGACACCGTGGAAAGAGAATTCTCCAAGCAGCTAGAGAGGGAGATTTCCAGGACGCAGAGGGAGGATCCAGCGAGCTTGGAGAACCGTATTCTGGGCAGCACGTTGACGGAAGTTTCGCACACGAACAACGAACGCAGGGAACAGAGCTCCAACAGTCGAGGGGAATCAAGGTTCGGTAGCTCGAGGTACGACGCCGAGAAAATGCTTGGTTACTCGCGAACGGCGGAGGACTTGCCAATTCTTGACCTGGAGAATGAAGTTCTAGCGAGGACTCTGAAGGATTACAACGCTTACATGACGTCGAACTTGAAATTATCCGTGTCGCCGCGCCATGGGCAAAACGACCGACGGAAATCTGGCGGATCCCATCTTCACGATAAACCCATAATTGACGGAACGGAGTTCGGGAGACTGGGCGGAAAGAAGAGCATGGAAACGGCATACACCACCTTGACGTACGACGACGATACCAAGGGAGATTTATCATGCATAAACGGGACTTTCCTGCCGGCGCCCCTTGTACGGCATGCGCTGATCAAATATGTAAAGTAAGTGGCTTTCGGTATGAATTATTCAGCTCAACCTAAAACGTTGGCGTGGGTGGATTTAGTCGAAGCGATTTCCCTTATGACGACGGATCTTTGGCGTGCTTATGAACTTGTTTCGCGCATCATATGTGTTCCTTAACGCAGCAAAGGGATAGCGTCGAGCTTGACGGAACTCAGTTACGTACAAGAAATGCGATTTTTGTTAAGTAACATCTTAATCGGTACACGAGTGTCTTTATTTTTACATTCGAGGCATTCAATTTTTTATTTAGATGTTTAGTGATAATCGAGAATATAGTAGTGGAGAACTGGAAATATTTATAGCACCGCTTGAATATTTAACATTCGTACCTAGATCTGTAGTCCACGACACTTGATTATACACGATAATATTTTTCCTATATTATCTCCTCTACTTCTCCTCAAATGAAATAATTCTATTTTTTTAACACAATGGATTTCTAGGACATAATGGACTTAAACAGAGAGGTTTGGGTTTTTCATGTTGGCACATTTTACGAGTAGATAAAGTTCACAACCTTCTTTACGAAACTGCTTCGAGCATAGTACCCGAGGCACCGCTTGCGGAAAGAAGCAATCTCTCAATCGCCATTATTATAATCCACTTTCTAGATTTCTTACAGAATTTTTCAAAGATACAATGTTTGTACGTCTTCAAGAGGACAGTTGAAACGTCTGCAATTGGTGTTCTTGTTCGTCGTCTCATTCAGGGTTTCCGCAAGCACTCGTACAAGGTTCCTTTCAAAACCCTTCGTTTGTTCACTAATCGAGCACATGTTCGTCTATACACTGCACACAACTTGACGCTTCATTGCCACTTGAAATACCCGTCTTTCGTTTGAAAAGTGAATTACCGAAGGCAACTTCGTAGCGGAATTGTACGAGAACTAGAAAACTTTCGGATCGAAGAGCCTGAACTTTTCAACATCCGGACGTGTTGGAATTACCTCACGGTAGTGTAAAATATCAAACGGTTGAAAAAGTAAGGGAAAGTGCTACGACGACGGACTTCCAATCAAACAAATGAAGAATATTAGAACTTTTTACATCGGCAGGATATTAAAAGCGGAACAAGAGAAAAAGAAAAATGAAATTGGAACGAGAGGTTTTAATTTGTAAGAATCATATTCAACTCGTTTATGGTATTATTATTATATTAAACACAATTATTACAAATGGTAAAATGTACATGGTTTGTTTGTTATCTGGATAGCTTACTTAGATGTCTTACTTTTAATTAGTTATATTAGTTTATCCATTTATAGGAAATTTGAATGTGCAAGAACCTACAAAATCCAAACAATATGCAAGAATATAAAAAAGATTGAAAGTAATGTTCATGTTATGTATTATTTACATAATAAAATAAATTCCTATTTAGGTTCAATTTTTGTAGGCAAAAGACGAAGATTCGCGAAGATTTTATTTTGCATAAAGATCCGCAGTCTAATCATTACTAACCAATAAGTAACTAGTTTGTGATTTCAGTCACCAACCAATTTCTTTTCTTTCGAGTAGCATCGTGTGCGGACAGCCTAATACATAATAGTTTCCAAGATATTGGACCACATAAGTTTTGTCCCAGTAGATCGCTGAAATATCACACTGTGCGACGGTTCGAGGTAGGCTCCGATCGTTCAGTGTTAGCGACTATGTGTCGAAGCCTGTCATTGTTACGTAAAGTATCTAATCACTGCAAAGTCTCGTGTACTACAATTTAGATATTATAATGTCACTCTCTGTCAATGGCACTTATTGGTGAAAACAAGTTACCACAGTTCAATGGAAACCACGAGGTGGTGAATAATCTTCCTGCAGGATAAGATAGAATTTGGCAGGATTAAGTTACGGGATAAATCTTCTATCATAGCGTAGCGAACATTAAATTACTGTTGTAGGTTTTGTAGCGAGAATTCGAAGGAGATTACGATCGAGCGCGAGCGAGTAAATATCGAGTACGAAAGCGATATTTGTTATACTCTGAAACCAATTTTTTTATACTCTGAAAAGTGATATTTCTCCAAGGTCATCGATACCAGATCACGAGTATTTAGAAGCTGACTACGAGTGCGCTCCAGGATTCTACATGACGACCACGACGAATAGATTGTTCTGCAAGAATCGTCAATGGATAGGACAACTGCCACAGTGCAAGGTGAAGCAGAAGCCCGAAGGTGCTTGCATAGGGGCGTCCTGTGACCATGTTTGCAGGGACTACGATGGCAAACCAAGGTGTTTCTGTTACAAAGGTTACCGACTAGAAGGCAATTTATGCATCGGTAAGTTCTGTTTCTGGGCTTCTTTTTTATTAATTGAAAAAGTACACAATCTGTTCACTGTCGACTTTAGCATGCTTCTTCGAGAAGATTAAGTATAATTACCTGTTGCACATTCAATTATTTTAGAGACATAAGTAATTGAAATTCCATAACTTAAGTTATATGCTGTGTACATTAATTTCTGTCATTGGTAAAAAGTTTTTGGTCGAACGGAATACGGATACGCACTTGTATCTAGATAGCACTTCGCGTCTAAACAATCAAAGTAATTTCATAGATTTTCGTACTATATCGTTCGACCGAATACTTTATTGTCAGGGATTGTACTACAAAATTCTTTAATTTCTATTTCCTTTAACATTTTACTTCTTCCTTTCATTTTACGTACATATATTTTATTTAATTCTGAATTTTAATTTATCGATTATAAAATTTAATATGACCGAATAGGGAATTTTATGTTGGACATTGTTCGTCCTCCAACATACCCTACAATATCGTAAAGTTTCTTCGACAACGACGCATCGTATAAAATTACCGTCACTTTTTATAATGTAATAATGCCTCGATAGTTCGCTCCTATAAAAATTCTTTTACTTTGATTAGTACGAGCACTAAAACGCACGAACGACACCGTTTTCCCGCTGAAGGCGGCGCGCCGGCCTGTCGAGTCGGCGGAAAAGAAATTTCTCGAGATGAAGTATCGGCAGGATGCCCGTTGAAATATTGACAGCTTCCGTGTTCTGCGATCGAGATGCTCTTCCTGCCGGTATTAAAAAATCAACGGTATCGCACAATATCCTCCAACCTTTGTATTTTCTTATCAAACTTATTCACGTGATCTTTCGGAATGGTTAAGGAGAGCTACAAACTTCTATTTTGGCGTCTTTTTGGGAATTTTGAACAGGAGAGAGGATGCAAATTTAGATAGTTATGAATCTTTATTTCTTTCCGTGCTGGTGTGTTTAAAATATCAGTGTTGCTGGGTTTCGAGATTTTAAATAATTATTTACTTTTTCGATGAATCGTTGGCGCGGTTCAAGAAATCAAGGACGATGTGTCGCGGCAGTTGGCTAAATTCAGTGTTTTACACGTACTCGTTGAAATTCAGATGTGGACGAATGCGAGGATAACAAGGGAGGTTGTGAGCATAAATGTGTGAACACGCCGGGATCTTTTCATTGTGAGTGCCCAAAGGGAATGAAACTACGCCAGGACAGGTTCACGTGCAGGGGTGAGTGATTTTCACCGGAATATTACATCCTCGACCCTACAGACTCCTCGTTTTCTCTCAAAAAGCAACAAGTGTAAATCCAAGCTCGAGTATATCCGTCGTTTCATCGACGGTCACTGACAAAAATCGTCGTCATTGACGATTCTTACTATTTCCCGAAAATATTAACGATTTTCTTTAATTATTAATAATTACGTTTGCTTTCAATATTATTTTTTTTATATAGTATGTAGGGTGGTCCACGCAACTTGCTGAAACAACTTTTCGACATAAAGAATGTAACATTTCATTTAAAATAACGAAGTCGATTTTCAAATCTCAAAAACACTTCGACCTATAGAATAAAACATACGTTCCATAACGAACCCTTAAAAATCATACTACTTTTGTATACAACATTCTTTCATAAAACGTATACTTCCACGAGTTAACGGAGATGTACAATTTACGTGGACCAACCTGTATATTAATTTCGTATTATTTCCCATTTTCATTTCTCTTATTTATTTCAATTTATGTTTCAAGATTTCACAGTTTGAACGATAATTGGTACAAAATGATGCCAACATTTGTAGAGCACCGTTTTGAATTATTCAAACGAGTGTATGCATAACGCTAAAAATTTATTACATTTTGGATGTGAAACAAATTTATTAATATTTCCAGTCGTGATCTGGTAATTCCTTCGTAATCCAACATGCTGGATATTTCACTTATATTTCGACGAAGTCTAAACAACATCTAAAGTCGAAAGATGTATTTATTTTTTGCGTTGTTTGATCGTTAAAATCGAATCAAAATGTAAAGAATTTAAGGATAAAGAGTGGTTTTTTGAATTTGATCAATATTTATTATTCACTATTTCGAATGTTGTCGTGCGAACTTGAAAAAGTAGTTCTGACAAATTATGATACAGTTCTCACTCTTTAATCGAATAAAACTGGCACAAGATAATATGACTTACAGTTATGTCGAATGTCTTTATGTCAGTCCAGATACTTTTTGTGCGGCTAATTAGCCGACATAATAACCAGTGAATCTAACGAGTATGTAAAGTGGCCCTTTCATTTTCACGTTCATTATGTAGACATCAACGAGTGTCTGTTGAACAACGGACACGGGCCATGTCAGGATACGTGTCGGAATACGATAGGAGGGTATGAATGTTCCTGCGATGGTCTACAGGATACTGTCCTGTCACCAGATAACCACACATGCCAGGACTCAGGTCCGTGCAGCGACAACAACGCCGGATGCTCCCATACCTGTCTCTCCACGAAGGGCAGGGTGTTCTGTCTTTGTCCTGACGGTTTCGTTCTGGAGGACGACTGGAAAACTTGTCAAGGTAATACAGTTTTCGACTTGTCTTTTTTTACTTTTTTTTAAAAAATTGGTAATTTCAATCGATTAATACAAAACAGATGCTTAAAGGGTCGATTAATTTTGTAATTTAAAAATTTAAGTAACTTATTTAACTTCTTAAAAATTGTAGCAACACGTTTTTCCCTCGAAAGATGTAAGTTTCACTTCAGCCCTTTCTATAAGACTTCTAGAAGACGTCAAAGATTTGTTCTGTGGACAGTTATGTAAACGATATCTCCATAAATTATTTTATATATTAAATATTATAATATTACGTCTGACTGTTGTAAAGTGGGAGATAATTAAATCAAAAGTGGGAGATAATTTTTTAAACGCATCGTGTAATTTAATAATTTCATCAAAGTAGGAAAATGTGGTATTCTTTCAGACGTGGATGAGTGCTCCCAGCCTGACTTACAAACGGAAATGTGTCGCTACGGTTGCATCAATACTCCAGGATCTTATCGATGTGCCGAGCCAATGGAGCTGAAGAATCAACCGATACTGGACAGCTTGTCGATCACCTGCCTCCCTGGTTACGAGGCCACCCCCGATGGAACTTGTATCGGTAAGTGGTTTAATCCCTACAAGCGATTTAACAGGAAGTCGGATTTGCAGACAGAGCCCCCTGGCAGACAGTTTTCGTTGTAACGATTCATTTGAACGGAAATTGTATTTCGTTATTGCATTATAGTGACTCAGATTTAGATGGAAATTTTCTTACTTAATGGAACGGATCAGTGGCGATTTATACTTCCATAACAGCAGAGCTATAAAGTAATGATTACTTTTGTACTTGTTACAATTTGGAATAACTATTTAAGTAATTCTTGATTAGTTTGTTTGTAGTAATTATCCAATACGTTATTCTTAATTATTGAGTAGTTCAATTACTTTTTAATAATTGCTTATAACTACCCAGAAAGTAATTAAATGGTATCCCAAATCTAAAGTAGTTGAAAATACCTTGAAAGTAATTAAAAAGTAATTATAGGTACTCTGTTTTTACAACTACATACACCCTGTATACGTGGCTGTTAAACCATTATAGCATTAAATTTCGACCTGGGATTTTTACAGCTACATCTTTAAGAATCTAGAACATTCATTTATGCAATAAAAAAAGAAACGATATTTTGTTTCATTTTACTCGAGTAAAAATTCTCCCCATCGGTATTTATCAACGTTTTGTTAATCATAATAAACATAGAATCATCTTACTCTTAAGTACTCCGATAAGTTTGACTCGAAACAATAATTAAAAGTGACCTACAAAACTCACTGAGCTTAATTTATTCGTTGCAACTGCTGAACAAAATACGTTAATATTCTCGGTGAAAAAATGAGATCGCCTCGAGTTGAAAGATATATAGGCGAGATCAAGAAGAAATTTAATTCGCTTCTAATTTATGGGCGATGAAAATACGTAGAAAACTGCTGCCGCAATTTTATTCACTCGAGCGGATTAACTCGTTCTAGCAGGGAATAAACTGTTTCTTACATTACATAATGAGGGGGGGCATAATTTCATTAATGAATTCATCCCATTTCCCCAGCACGCCCGGCGCGCACGCATTTGCCCCTGTCTCTTCATTGCGTTCGAGCCCCACGAGCGTTTGTACAACCTATTCCTCGAGGGAATTCCAGCAAACTGTCAACTTGTAATCGGAATTGCGAGTGTAGAGGAGCCTTTAAACGGAGACCCTTAAATCATTCTCTTTCACCTGACAAATGGTTCTGGCGTTTCCGTTGACGAATCCGTTTTTTTTAATGAAACGGTGGTGAATCGAGAAAATGTTGAACTAGAGGAACAACCGAGTTTTCAGGAATTTTTACATCATGCTCTTCTATAAAGATGACTGAAAAGTTTTTTTTTACTAGAAAATACTGAAAAAAATTATAGGTACCTGCTCTTTTTTTTTTTATTTGAGTATATATTGTAAAAGATAAAAATATTGTTTGTATACCTCAACATTGTAATTACCGTGTATTTTTTTTTATGATAACTACAATGGTGCCGATAATAACCCTTTTAACCGACTTCGAAAAGGAGGAGGTTACTGAATTCGATATGTTTTTTTTTTTTTTTTTTTTGTTAAATGTATGTTACTCGATTACACCGAGATGGCTTGACCAATCGGGATGAAACCTGTTGTATCTTGTAGAGCATGTCTCCGGGATGGTCTCATTATCAAGACATTTTGGGATTTCTCATTTTTTTTACCCGTTTTTTGTTTGCAGAAAACCGAAAAATTTTATACTGCTTCTTACTCCGAGACCGATGTACCAATCGGATTGAAACTTCTTGCATCTGATAGAGTATCACTGCCACTTGGTCCCATAAAAAAACATTTGACCTTGGTTTATTGTTTACCCCTCTAAACCACTTTTATCGCAAAAAAGTACTACTTCATGTATGTTCGGCCTGACATTGACGAAACTCCCTTATATTTTGCTACCGGACAGTTTTTTGCGATGATCCCATTTGCAACCAACGTTTCTGAATTTTTTAACCGATTTCGAAAGAAAGTAGATTGTTTCTCAATTGTAATCAGTTTTGTTTCTTTTATTATTCGATATTTGAGTGGTCTTGAAACGGGAGTATCGATCGGGGCATCGGGAAATTCAAATTCTTCTTGGACACGCGATGAGGGATGAGAAATGTCTGACCTCGTCTGGTCGACGGACAAAAACGTCGAAGTCGCTTTCAATCGCGTCATAACGACTTCTCGTGAACGATCCTCGCATTCTTCGGTCGAGAGCCACCGGCTAGCCGGTCAATTGTCCACGCGATGGCGTTAAATTGACCGAAATAGACGTACAAGGGTCGGCCAGAATACGATTGCCACGAGCACTTTCAATGACCGCCAAGAGTGCTCGACTTCCGTCGCTTTCATGAACTACAGATACGCGCCGTATACGCGAATGAACGCGATGTACCAAGTATCCGTGCGATAATGATGCTCGGGCAGATTCGAGAGCTCGAAGGTAATGTCCTTTTCGTGCATCCCATTGGCTCCCTAGATTTCCGTGAAACCGATACAATATGTCGTAATTTTTCTCACTTGAGTTTCCTTCGTTAGGTTTATGTGTGATTTTTTCGAAATAGATACGTTGGACGTAACAATTACAGTATACAACTGTTCTGATGAAAGGAAATATTTGCAACAATATTTATCGTACATATATTGATACGTTATTCTTCTTATACGTATGATTTCTTTCAATAACGATCTAGGATATTGTCGATTCACTTGACGCTAAATTTGAAATTAATGTCGGTCGTTCAATTTTCCAGTCACTAAGTTATATGAATTGTGGAATCAAACCGATCAGACGTATGAATCGACCACGTGAGTAATTTCGCGGGACGATATACTAATATTTGACATCGCCGAGCGTGATGTGTTACGCATACATACTATTATAATTACCGATATTACAGCAACTTTTTAATGTATTCAGACGAGAAACCGCAAATATGAATTAACATAATTGGTAGACTGTAATCGAATCAAGGATCATGAAACATCATGAAACATCAAACTAAAGATCTGATATATCAAAGGTAGCAATATCACATTTATTAAGGTTTACAAAATATATATTTTTTTTAATATAATTAATTAACAATGGACTCTAGATCCTAATCACAAGCACCAATGGCTGAAAGATTATAGATATCTAATACATCATGGCTAATCAATAAACATACAATTTGTTTCTTTGGTTCATTGGTCAACACAGACGTATTAGAAATGTAACACTTTCCTTGATCTAATCGAATCCGTGACGCCTGTTATTAAAACTAAATCGTTAATCTTTAGTCATTTGAAAAAGAATTAGGTCTGTGAACCTCAAAACATAATATGATGTACTCAATTTGTAATAACAATATAAATTTAATTTTCTATCGGGAATATAAAAATCCAAAATAAGTACGTATTATTTGCAATTAAAAACGTGGAATAAAAGTCTATTTGTTCATTGCAATTTCATTGCAATTTTTTCATTGCAATGGAACAGATTATTTTTACCGTTTGCGAACCGGATGAAATAAATTTGAACTTCTTTCACGACACCTGTCGCTCGATCCTCTAATATCCTCCAAAGTTGGCAAACCTAATTTCGTCGGTCATAAATCTTCCCGGCACCGAACGGAGAATTCAGCCCTGAACAATATTAAATTCCGATTAAATTCATGATACGCGGAATAACACTCGCAAGGAAACACCGGTGAGTGTTACACCCCGATTTTGATGAAACTTCGTACACTTGTTTGCGAGACCTTCCTATGAATTACACAATCTCCAATTCGTGCCATTTTTGTGTTTCAAGGGAGAAACCACCCCTTTTCGAAACCTCGTATCTCGAAAACCTATCTATACAAATTGTTTTCATTGCAATTTTCGAATTCAGCAGGCCAAAATACATGGGAAAAAAATAGTGACATTGAATGTATATTTTGGCTTGTAAACTAACGTTATTTATCCATATAATATGTGCGTTATAATCTATTTAGTCCCAAAAACAACAAAAATCATATGAAACATTCTTTTTCAAAAATTTGTTTGTCATCTCTAACTATCGAAAAATTATAAAATTGACATCGATAGATTTGGAAAAGGTTCAATTTTAATTAAAAAAAGATCGATTTTTCTTTCGAAAAATGTGTAGTGCCCCACTTAATATATATATTGTCCAACTATTCTGAAAAGAACATTCGATGGCTACAAGAAAATGGTTAGTGCAGCGACACTGGGGCAACTGTGCTACAAGTCGCTTCGTCCATCAGGACTTTATAGATCCTTGGTGGCACGTAGTGACATAATAAGTACGTAGACGTGATCATGTTGACCAATGGCGACAGTCCACGTACCAGGGGTTGAAGCGAAGAGATTTATTGTTGGAGGAATATTAAGCCGCCACCCTAGCCCACATTCCATCGCCTAATCACCTTCTCGCGGACCCAGAGTACGTACACTCTGAAAAGTGTTGGTAACCCTAATGAAAGAAGAACTTTCGTTTCTGTTTGCAGACATCAACGAGTGCACGGTCGACAACGGTGGATGCACAGAAGTTTGCGAGAACACGGATGGCAGCTTCTTCTGTGCTTGCGACGGTGATGAAAAAGTCTTGTCATCCGACGGGAAGTCCTGCGTGGGTGAGTTCTTCTAGCTGAAGGAAAGCATTTTCCTCAAAACCTTCCCCCACATGTTCCTTCCATCTGACACCATGGAGGGCCATGTATCTTTCGCGTGCCTGGGAAACGCAATGTGTCCTGGGTGACGCGTGGAAAATTTCTCGAGTACATCGTAATAACGTTATCGCGGATGCGTTTATTCGCGAAGCGTTCTTGATAAACGACGCCCAGTTTTTCCGATTAATACGTACAACGGTTGAATAATATGTTCCCTTTATTACGCCGTATCCTCGAGACAACGATAAATTCGTCCGAGTTTCTTGCAACCGGATTAAATTCACCGCGGGTATTCCGGCATCGCGTTATGCAGAGTTCAACTTTAAGGAATTATATACAGTTGATTATTCTGCGGAAAGGCTCCAATTTATGAATTCATTTTAGTCGACTTATTCATGTATTTAAAAAGTAAGTTAGATGTACGCTTAAATATTTATTGCATCAAATTTCTTTTCGGCTAAAGGATAGTTCGCTTAGTTTTATTTTTGTCAATGTTTTTCGCGGATTTAAATCGTTTGTACATATTGTGTATAATTTTTATCATTTCATTCTTTGGTATTCGAAAGATTTTTATTTTCAATTAACTCTTAAAATATATATAAAATATAAAAATAGTTCAGTTAACAAAAATTCATGAAATGGAATTTTTTCTATAGTATACAACTGTATATTATAATTCCTTAACGCGTTGTCAGTCATTTTATTTCCTACCTTCTTTGAGGAGATTCTTGGACGTGCTTGAACTTCTTCTATTCTTTGGAAAAATTTACGAATTTATACTGTTTAACACATTACACAAGGTGATCCGACAGAAATGGAATATCCAATTATCTTTCTTTTGCTGTTGCAGACGTGTTCCGGAGTAGTAATTACCCACCCGTCTGTACCGATCAGTGCAAAAGCAATACAAGTCGATAAAGGTCGTCAATTTAAGCATTTATTGTAAAACATGATATTAACCGATTTAAGAATAAAAGGTGTGTGTCGTAGGTTGTTGAATTTGTTTTCGAACAACCTCTTAATCCTGTGTAGCAAAAGACTTCATGTGGGAAGGTATTGATGACCTTGATGACTTTCAAAGAAATAACTTTCTGACCAAATTATATTTCCACCATCTTATGATTTTAATCGATTCAACCAACCGTCGTCGAATTTTCAACAGTCTTTCGATTGAAAGTTACAGAATTTCGGAAAGCTGTATTGCATAATTTTAGCATGGTTTCATCTATATAATTTTAAATAAATTTGTATATTTATTTTGGTAAGATTGTATAGTTAGACCTCGAGTTACATGGATTCGTTAATGCGCGCTTTTAAGCTCCCATTTATTTTCTTACAGATATTTTGCATGTGTGTACGTATTTACATATTAAATAATGTTTCTTTTTCTTCGATCTGTCTTCCTACAAAAGAGTGGGTATGAATCCGTAACAATAACCCAGATACTATCGTCGCCTATTTAAAATAACAGTACAGAGGTTTCTGTAATGTCTAAATAAATATAAATTGGATATCATCAACATACAGCGTTTTAGTTCACATTTACGCATGTACGTAAAGTTGATATACCCTAATATAAGTGAATTTACCAAATATACTTGATTCATATTATTATTGTTATCATTACTAAATGTTGATATCGTGCACATTGATGCGGTTTACATAAATACAAAAAATTCTCCACGTTTCGGTTGACTGGAAAAGTTTCAAATACGAGCAGTATTGACTAATTTCCCATACATTCGTAACTTTGCGTCCGGAAATCGTGACTCGGGATATATCAGTATCATTACCATTTTGCTTTCTGTCTGCTCGAATTTTTGTTAGCGCAAGTTTACCCTCGTTTGCATAAACCTATCGGGCAATAAGAAAGATACAAGAAGTTCCGTTGTGAAATTTGCATTGCTCAGGAATACGGTAACGTTTTAGAAGTTCCTCGGGAGAATATGAAATTAAGTGACCCAGATTGCGATTATTTGCACAGTTACCGTCGGCTCAAAGCTCGCAGTTTAACATTTGACGACGAGCCGATAATTGCAGAATTCCATTAAACAACCGGGAAGGATGGTCCCTTGTATAAATTTGAGGGGACATAGTAAGACGGTTTGTTAGCGTGTTAACAGAATTCCTGGTGACGGCAAATATTCCAAGTAAATTCTTTTCTTCGCGCTGCAAATTGGAGAATACATGTAGGGTGACGTAGCGTAAGAGCAGAGATAGAGATATTCATAATACGTTATGCACGCGAAACGGCCGTTCAATTAAAGATGCGATTGGCAAGATTCTAGCAAGATAGGATATGCAAAGTCAAGTGGGCAGGATTACATGGTAATCACGTAGTAAACTCCAGGAGTGTTACGTCTAAACAAGCGACGGTTGGGCGATGGGGACGCATCGATATTTGCTACACCATGCAAACTCGCCACGGGGGTGGTTCTCACGGATGCGACCAAAGTCGATACGCGTCTCTGGCTTCACTCTATCCGTCGCCATTAGCATTCGTGATTCATATATGATGCAGATATCGAGGATAATACGTGTAAGCATCACGGTCGACAATAGTGCTTGGTCGACGTCGCGGATTTCTGATTTACCCGCTCGCATATCACTGTCAGCTTTCGAAGGTAGCCGATTAATGGCGACAGAAATTTCCGTGCCTCCTGAACACGTATCGCGTGCGTGCCAACGAAAATCTAGCCTGTTGTAATCGGATCAAAGGATTTACGCGATCATATCGGTGATCGGTGCGCTCGCCACGAATCGTTCTTGCAACACCGGGTATTGATGAAGTCGGGGATACGGGAACGAACCGATGCGTTGGGACCAGTTGAACGCGTCTTGGTCGCTGGCTCGAAGTTTCTTATTCTTTAAAATGGAAAAGAGAAACGAAACGATGCCACAGTTATTGATAACTATTTAGAAATTTACAAGCATCGATGTTCGTCATTTTTTTGCGATTGTTTTTGATCTTTTAATAATTTGAAGTAAAGCGAAGCTTGTGGATTAATTGATAAAATTATATGGATTTCTGTTTCGAGCGAATATTTAGTTTTACCGAGAGAGTGATTTTTCTTGGTAATTCGAGCAGTTTATTGTCATTTAAAAAGAAAAACGAATTTTAATAAACGTTTTCAATCTTCGGCTATGATATTGAACCGGGTCTGGTTGATTTCATATAACCGTTTGCCTACCACGAATCGACTGTTTTTATTTTGAGTTGTTTTGAGTTGGGGACGTGTCTTGCACACGCTGTCCAACGAGGCGAGTGGACAGGATTTATCGAGAATAAGCGAGATACTGCAACATTGAGCGAGTGTCGGATTACCGGTGTCCGGGCGGGTCGCAATTGAGAACGGTAATGCACGTACACGTGGGATGAGTTATCCATTAGTGGAAATTAAAAGTTTGATACTTTTTCGTATATCTCCTTGTCATTATTGCTAATGGATTGGTGAGGTATTCTAAAAAATGAGCTCCACCTCTACCTGGTTTGGATTATTTACATGGCATTCAAGTAATTTTTGAAAAACTTTCAATTAACACTTTACACTTGGATATGTCCCCTCTTAAAGGATATTATAAGTATGACATACTTTGTTGATAATTATGCGGAACTAACTTACGCAAGTGCAACATTTTTAAAACTGCATGATTGTTATTAAAGTTTTCCATTTAAATAGCACGAAAAAGCAAATAAAAATATGCTACATACGCTATAAATATAAAGAAATTCTGAATTAATCTTACATAGAAAGAGAACATACGAAGCATAGTGGTGTCAACATTCGAAGAAAACGTTAAGGAGCATTTGTGTAAGAAATGTAAGTGGATGAGATGAATAAGAAAAATTTGAATTTTTGTCGAAATAAAGTTCACGGGAACCTAATCATAGTTCATAATCATTAAAATTCAATTCCATGTTTGAATCTTATCGTTCTCGCCTCGGTTGTTCACGTTGGAAAAAAAAAAAAACACAAACAGTGGTGCAGGATGGTGCTATTCCATCCAGCCGGGGAAAAATTATTTCATAAAACCGGGGAGTACTGTACCTTTCACCAAAGCAAAGAATGCATTTCCTTGCATTCGGTACAGTTAAATATTAACAATTATTTTTTTATAATAATGCAGACACGCGAAAAACGTCGAGATACTTTCCTTTATTGTCGCAGATGTAATCAGTATATCCTGCCCACCGCTGAATCCAGAGGGTCGAGGGTATTTAATGTGTTCTCATATGGCCACACCGAAGCCGTGGAGGGGTAGACGAAAGATCACCAATCGACCAGGTACCAAGTGTTTCTTAAAGTGTCCTCATGGGTACCAACTTCACGGAGAATACGAATTATCTTGTCAGTCGGATGGCACGTGGGACGGACCGAAACACGGCGAGTGTGTCAGTGAGTAAAGTGATTGATACAGTATTGCCCGGCTCTATAATTGATTTTCATACCCCGGATCTGTAATCAGGAATTACATCCGACGTCATTCTCTTTCTTCACCGCGGCAGACGTGTAGATTCGAGTGGACAGGATTAAAAATAGCGGATTTAAAATTTGAATAGTCGAATTTCGGAATAACCCGAAAGCCTATGAAGAGGGTTGAAAAGAGTTGTCTACTTGTATACCTACGTCACTCTTTTTTTATCCTCTTAATAAGCTTAAATCCCTCCCTTAATAACCTCCCTTTCACGGTCATCATTTCGGGTTTCGATTTTCTATTACAGTGCCAGGCAATACTACTACATCATGCAAAATTATTCTCTACTTTCAATTAGCCAAGCTGACCAAAAGAAATTTTTTAACAAGTTATAATTATCATACAGTCGTTATGTGTTATAATTATTATTATTTATGCATTTTTTGCCATGTGCAAACCCAGGTGCAGCGTCATTTTTAATACACTTATACACGCAGTAAAAATGTTTTAATTTTATACACTACAATATCTTGTAAACGGAATGTTTTGTATTTTCATTAATTTCCTCAAAATTAATTCCCAAAGAGGAATTGATTTTGAAATAATTCGACTGCCTACTCTCCGTAATGTCTATTTCTATTTCATTTTTTAAATCTTCGAGGACTGGTCTGCACGGTCTGTCTAATGGTAACATAATGGGCAACCGACAACTCGTAATGCGAAAAGAAAGACCCAATCAGTGCTTTCTACGATCGTCAATGTACGAGATCCTGTTCACGTTCTCTTATAGGGTATGGTAAGCCTCGTTTAGAGTGTCCCAAAGACGTCATCGCCGAGCTACCGCCAAGCCATGACGAGGCGTTCGTGACGTTCGATCAACCGTCTACGGACCTCGATTGGTTCCGGTACGTTCGCTCGAAACCCTCCTGGGGGACCAGGTTGGAAGCCAGCCTGACGTTAGGGGTGCATGAGATCACGTTCTACGCGAGACACCCGGTATCGAAGATGCAGGCCAGTTGCGTGTTGCGCATCGTCGTTAAAGGTGATTAATTAATGCATGCGTATGAAATCAATGCGTGACATGTAAACTTGGCGATCGTAATCGACATTGATCATCAAACAGTGCTATTAATCAACGAGCGATCCTAGTTACCTAAACTCACAGTATCGACGGAGAGAATCAGGAACAATTAATCATCTTGATTTAAGGGACTCCATTCGTATGGACGTGCAAATTGTCTTCGCTCTTTTACAGGATTGGATTGTTCTTGTTGTAAACTGCTTCTTCCGCATCTCGTTTATTCACGGCGACGTTGGATGAACGAAGAAACTTTTAAGTCGATGGATAGGAACAAGAGACACTGTCAAGGATCTATTCTGTGATACTTTTTAACAAGATATTTAGAGAAAAGGAAACAATTTTCATATCGTAAAGATATTTTATTTGTATTTTGTGTTTTCTTGAATGTTTACTTTAAACTATAAGTACATTGTTGCAAGTGATAGAATTGATACATGTTTCCTCATTTAAGTGAGTTTTCCACGGGATCACGTTAAGAAGCCGTGCAACAAAATAATATAATCCTTTTACTAAGAGTTAAAGGGTTACGACGCCAAAGTAAATACGACACCGTCCAATTATCTGTTTAGCACATTTTTGAAAAAATATTCAACTACGACACGTTTTCTAGCGTATTGGACCAGTGCCACCCCTTAATGCGTCATCGTGTTCTTTGCAACCCGTTTAAAAAAAGTTCGCCGCGTTGTCATTCTCCCATCTAGAAGCGCGAAAAGCAGAACCCATTAGAAGACGGTTTCAAGTACGCAGGGCGTCGCCGTCGTATTTTCATGTCTTATCCCGATTTCGATGCCAAGATGTCGAGCGAAACACTCCTCGCTCGACGGCACACGCGGTCTAGCGCAGTCGTCGTATGCAAATTTCGCATTGCGACTCAAAGAAGTTCCCTCCGGCGCCTGGAAACCCAGCCGACGCTTTAATTAAATGCGTTTCCAGGATAGGGTTCGCCACAATGCTATATAATCTACGAATCGCTTGGCCCTCGCCCCACAAATTAGATTATTCGACGGATTCTAGTAAATGCTTGACTGATTCTTGCTACCGAATGCTCTTTGCATTCTCCGATGAAATTCCAGATATTTGATTAGACCTATGTTTTTCTTCTCGACGGGGAGGAAGGATCGGTAGGTACACGAACCGCGGAGCTTGGCACAGAGGTTCTTTTGGGATGTACTTCAGAAATGGTCCGTAACGCGTTGATTACTGCTGGTACCAATTTTCTGGATGCAGAGACATCTTTGATATTTGCTCAAGGTCGCAGAGGATAGCTGGCAGAAAAATAAGTGACATTTAATAATTTGTTAAATAGAGGTATTCTGGTAAATTTAATAATGGGTATTTAAAAACGTTCGTGGCGAGTTTGTCGCTCGATCAAGACGAGAATGCTACGTAGGCTTGTGACAAAATTTTGACGGAAAAAATGCTCTATCAAAATTTTAATGTCAGAAATGCATCACGCTGTGGTCGACCAATCACAGAAGGATGCGATGAAATCATACAAATGGTTGAGAAACGCCACGAACTTTAGTTATATTAGTTCGGCTTGAAGATAAAGAAAATGTTAGAGAAAAAAGTTGTACTTTACTTTTACTAAAATAAAGTATAGCCTGCGTCCTTCCTCAGGATGCAATCTATCTCCTTGGCAAATTTTATTGAGTGAAAAGGTAACAGACAGACAGAGTTACTTTCGCATTTGTAGTATCAATTTGAAAGATTTGTTAAACCAAATCAGCCAGTCCTCTCAGCGCGACAATTACACACCACGCCTGCGCGATAACGTTACAAACTATTTTCGAGCAGAGGTATTTGCTGGTTTACTTTGTGCTTCGGCGCAAAGGCCAGTTTTGACGTAAATTGGACGTAAAATATAATTTATCCAGTGTTTCGCGTTCTGCTCCAGAATTCCCCATACGTGTCAGATACAAGACTGCAATTTCATTTTCACGCTTTATACCGAACAGGTAATTACACGTACGTTCCCGAACACGTTCTACGATAACCCCCCCATTTCCCCGATGAAACGTACCAACTTTCCAGAAAGACGACGGATAAACGAGTTCGTTCTCATTACGAAAATACTCTTCGAATGGCCGATACTCAAATTCACGATGTTCACCGCAGCCCCGCCCTTACTAAAACTAATTTACCGGAACTAATTAAATGCAGCCGGATAAAGTTTCTACCATCTGCGGAAAGTTCCCATTGACGAGGGAGAAAGTTTTTCGGTAACGTAGTCTGATTTCCCTGCGAGCTGGGGAATGCTGCGCGAAGTGATTGTTTATCATTGGTATAGAAAGAAAATGAAATCTAATGGTTATAGATTTTTTATTGAAGGCGTCCATGGGTAAGCGAGGATGCAGGTTGCGTTGTAGTCGGTAAGTCGTGAGATCGAATCCATAATTTGAAAATGAGGGGATCATTCTTATTTATTCCACTGATGCGTTGAAAAGAATAAATTTGCTCACATTTTAATTAAAAGTTTGTATTTTTCATACTAGGTGTCACGTTGGTCATTAGTAGGTCCTAATAAATTAAGGACGCTTATAATATGTAGATGACATCTTACAGTCGATGTCAGGAATTTTGCTTCAATTAAAACATAATGTGGATCACGTAAAATTAGGAAGCGTTTGTAATCTACAGGACTATAAATATTGTAATAAACACCAATAACGTTAATTCCTGAGTTGCCCCGTAAACAATAAATATCACGCCTACATTTACGTTTACATTTTTATTCTTAAATTTTGGCAGCGACGATTCCATACGCTTAGAGAGTCAACTCGAAATAGATCTCGAGTTCAAATTCTTTTGATTAGATTTGTTCGATTTCAGACGGTGAAGCGCCGAAAGTAAAAGACTGTCCAAATGACATAGAGGTCACCGGGAGAAATGGATCAGTGATCACGTGGACCGAGCCAATTTTCACGGACAATGTGAAAGTGACCCGGATTAGAAGCAACGAGGTCAGTGTTAATTACGAAGTAACTTAATTTCTCAACGATGATAAATTCGACGTCGCGATCATCGAATGTATGTCATTGTCATTAGTGTGCTCGATAGCATGGAAATAATTTTGCACGTTTGAAACCGTTGGAACATATAGAACAGTTCATCATTATTTGAATAATAATGTATCTCAACTTCATGTCACGTAGATATTTCTTTATAATAATTAATGCCAATTAACTACCCAAAGCTTACATAGCAAACGATTTATATTTTTTATGTAAATATCGTATAACAATTTTATTTACCAACTATTCCGCAATTCTAAGCCACGTTTCGCAGCAGGTAACATCATACAGAAAATATGAGGCTGTCCCATAAATATTATACGCTTCTATCTTTGTGACGAATACTAAAGCTCTTGCCATACTCTGCGGATGTCCCAATAATATCAAAATTTAATAGAAACCGACAGTCGAGAAATGTATGATGGAAATGTAGCATCAACATTTTAAAAACCTTTATTTTATGCTGTACCCATTTCAAACTAGGAAATGGAATTTTTATTTATGTTTTTTGAAAGCCAAGTTGTTCCTGAATGTCAATGATAAGAAATTGTTATTTATGGTACTCGTAGAAGTTTGGTTTCGGCGCAAGCTCACAAAAAAATGGCTGTATCTCGGTTGTTTTGCAATACTTTTTACCGAACTACCGAGCTACCGAACTCCGTAAGTAGAATTGGCGAGAAATGGCCAGACATGAACGAGTTGTATTGTACCCCAGATAATATTAACCCTTTGCACTCGAGGCCTTTTTTTCTGGTATCTACCAGCAACTCGAGATGTTTCTTAGCGTTCTATTGCCATGAATTTTAAGCTACCTAGATTTGAGAATAAAGCAACCTTTACCTCACCGACAATCATTTTATCGACAATTGGAGCTCCAAAGAAATGAAACCTAAAGAAACATTAGGTATTGTAGATGTGCTGCATGAAACCTAATGGTGACTGAGACCTCTCGAGTGCAAAGGGTTAGTATAAATTTATCGAGACAATATTTTTCGTCCGTAGGAAAGGTGAACAGTCTGCGAAGGGTTAAAAGCAAAGGTCTCTCAGGTTTTTCTCTCGATCGTTCGATCACGTTTTCCGTCAACGTTTCAGAGTCCAGGACGACGATTCAACGTCGGCGGGCACAGAATAGAGTATGAGGCTAGCGACGAAGCCGGCTGGTCGAGTAAATGCGTGTTTACCGTAGTTCTGCGGCAAGAGTGAGTCCTGGCGAGCTTCGTCAGGTGAGCGTCAGAAGAGCGGAGGGAGAAGAAACGCTAAAGAAAAGGAGATCCAGGTAAAAATGGGGGTTGTGGGGTTGGTGGTGGCGGAATAAAAGCAGCGAGGCGGAAGAATAACGATAAGGTAATATAAATGGAAATGCTCTGGAGTTGTGCTCGCCCAACCCTTCAGTGTGTGTAATGGATTCCGTTTTATCCGGAAGGTTAAACGCGGACGAGACGGGGATACCTTCCCGCGATACATACGCAAGCGTATGTTTATGATTACATATTGTATGAGTATCGCGTTTTAGCGGCGAATTAGGGTATACGAAAATCGTCATCTGTGAAGGACTCGGTATAAATGTATTCTAAATTAATTACTGCACAATTTCACTAAATTGAATAAAACATATCGTATGTGTTGTTTTATATGCCCTATAATTACGGAGAACTAATTATTACAATTTTAGCAATTTTTGTGCAACAAAAAAAGTGGAGTCAACACATAAATAAATGATAGCTTGTTCAAGTTTGAAAAGTACCATTTTTTGATCAAATATCAAGCAATAACATAAAATATAACTCATGCTTGATTTTACCATATGATTTATAACTTATTTTACGAGTGCGATTCATATAATGTATATTTGTCCTATTTGGCCCGTAATACGGACCATGAGTCTAACTCGATGTTATAAATGTGTTTCCACCATCTAAACGTAGTTACGAGCCTGAAAGATCAGTAAAATCAAAAGATGACGATTTTTGGTTTTTTATTCTGTTCGACGAAATACGATATAACGTAACCATAGACAGGCATACACAAATGTAATGTATACTAAGAAATTAGGGAGATTGCCTCTGGGTAAAATACAAAGGCATGGGCCAGAATTTTTTAAAAATATTAACGAAAAATTTTGTGAGAGTTTAGAAGATAATAATGGTCACTCTTCGTAGGTCTTCAATTTCAAGAAATTTCAATGAAATAAAATCTACGGTGAAATCAAATCGACTAAAATTAATTGATTAACAAAGCAAATTTGTCTATGATCCTATCACAGAATTCTTCACAGAATCCAAATAAAATATAAGTTATGAGAAGTTACGAATAAATAACAATCGTGTCGATATCGAAAGTGTTCTTTATTACATTCGAACAACTTGATCAGTGGATTATGAGTGGATTATGATTATGAGTGGAAAGAAGTATTTCTCTCGCATCGCGAACATTACTCAGAAGCAATCTTTCAAGTTCTTGCTGGAGCGTCTCATCGATCCACTCGCGACAGATTTCCACGGACTTCCAACGATCCACAGGTTTCTTCCTCGCGCTCTCGCGTTTTCCATTTCGCCTTTCTTCACCATTACCGGATTCTACGTGGCCTGCGCACGTTGCATCCCACAGCGAATTGAATTTATCCCGGATTCGACGTAAAGCCCTCGATCCACGAGTGTTACAGCGATCACGATCGACACGCTCACGGAGATCTAGGAATTTCCCGAACAATACCGCGAACGTTCCACGAAATTACGCGTATCAACGCCACGATCGTGACTGCCGTGTCCGCGTTGCTAAGGACGAAGGAAGAGACTCGTCAGTGGCGATTTATACGCAGATCCTAGGAGAGAGTTGCTTAATACCCACCGTTCGCCTAAATCGTGCATGTAATTCTATTTAATGAAAATTGTGAATTTCAAGGGAATTCCTTTTAAATTTCAAGAAAATTATGCGTAAAATGAAACTCGGGGGTAAATTATATTGAAGAAAGGGTAGTATTATGGCCTCGAAATTTTATATTTTTTGGGGAAAATCAGGTTCGTGATTCGAACTACGCCAATTTTTTGCTTAGAGCGCAGAAAGGCTATTGATACTGGTTTTGTTCACCATATTCAGGTAGTGCGTGAAAATATAAAAATGGAGTTCCATTTGATTATTCCGTTATGATTGCTGTAAAGATGGAATTGATATTTTTTTAAAAGTTATCTGAATTCTTGAATCGTAAACCTGCAAGGATTCGACAATTAAAGATCGTGAGTGGTACGATTTTGGCAACTCTCTCCTGTATGTATGTATATGTATTGTAGAACCTCCTTTATCCATGCTAATTGGGAAACAAGACTGTTCGGTTAAGGAAACTTTTTGGAAAATAAATTCCTAATCATTTTTCATTCTTCTTCTGATTATTTTGGTAGAAAATAGAATTATTTATTTGGCAATGGTATCATTGAAATGGAAATCTTTTTCTTGAACATAAATTGTAAACTCAATTACTTTAGTTACCGATCTAGAGTTACCGATTTCAAGATAAAGTTCTACGAATAACTTAAGTGACATGTAGAATGAAACCGTTATAATGTAAGATAGAAGAATGTTGAAAAAGGTAAAATAAACATTTACAGAGGTAAATATTCGTGGTCTTATGTAACGTCGCGTTATCGAGTTAAAGTGTACATTTAATTGACATATAAAGATGTAAATTAAAGAGCGAAAACCACTAATCGAGGCATGGATAGTCATAACTCACTAAACAGTATGTAAATGATAGTCATAGATTAAAATGGTTATTGGGAAACATCAGATCATGTAAGGTTAAGTTATTAAAGAGGAAAAGTCGAATACAAGAACAAAAATAATAAACAATAAATAACCAATAATAATAATAATAATAATAATAATAATAATAATAATAATATATTTATTATTTATACATAAATGTTTTTAACTACTGATTTTCATTGGAAAACTTATTTTACACCGAATGTATTTATAACTTCATATTTGTCATTTTTTCGTTACTCTCGTAGGAGAATTTTAACAATCTAACAGATTGTTAAAATTGCGCTATAAAACCTAATAGGTCACATTAATCGTCCCCTACAAATGTCACAATGAATTACACCGAGCAAAAGGAGTGGATTAATTAATGAATTGTAATGTCAATTTAAAATTAAAAAAAAAAAAGTTTGTATTTAATTTGTAGTAAATGATAATCCAAAATACTATTCATATCGGATTTATTTCCTCCTTAAAGCCAAGCAAGAATTTGTTGTGCATCGTTAAAAGTAAACGTATCGTTTGAGTGATTCAAATGCTCCGGTCTGTATGTACACCGAGGTGATCTATCGAGGGATTATTATGCAAATCCGAAATCCACGAGTTGTCGTTCGCCCAGGCGAACTCTGTCGATTACTGGTCGATTATCTTAGAATAAAGTTTAGTTCTGTTATAATTAATTTTAATTTTAATTTTAATTCTTTTTTGTATGCTCTCATAACAGTGAATACTGTGATCGTGTGCAGCAAAACATCTATTAGCATGCAACGTGTATACTATTTATCAATGTGTGTATACATATGTATATCCAAGATGTGGAAAAGTCATTCGCGTGAGTATGGATTAATAATTACAGATTTGAAAATAACTTAAGTTCAGGAGTGAAAACATGCATAAATTGTTGTACCTTCATTATAATGTTCCAGCAAGCTTTTACTAACTAAAAAGTAGATATTTATAGCAGAGAAGAATAAAAGGTCGAGGGAATTGTTCTCTCGTATCTTTTAAAGGTAGGTATAAATAAGACAGTGTTTTTACAAGTCTGTACCTACGTTGCTTGAACTGAATTCGCGAAACCATTCGCGATTAGTTTCGAAATTGAACGGCACCTCGTGCGCTCGTAGCAATCAACAAGCGGAAACAATGATAGTTTTAATCCTATCCACGATCGTGTAAAGGGGCGGTTCTAGGTATTCGATCCCTGAGCCGAACGGATTTATGGAAATTACAAAGTCCACAAACATCAAAGCCACACCGACTCGATGTACGTATTATGCGTTTTCGACGAACAGGCTCCAATTGATAGCTAAATCCCATCTGGTCTTTAATTCCTCGCGCTTTACATTTACAACGACAAGCTACGAACTGTGCTTCACGTTTTCTATTTATTTACTTTTTAAATATAAAAGAGAACGACCAAACCACCTTCACAAAGAACAACGAGTGCCAAATTATTAGTTACGCTGAGAGTTAAGTATGCAGAGAAAAATTTTGTTTGCATTTAATACTGATTAAAAATAATGAATCTGCTTGTTTCTGTGTAATTGTGTAATTAGTGCTGATGAAAAGTTTGTGATACCTTCGATTCGATCGATAAGCGTTTCTCTACGTTCAAAGGTCGTAATGTTTGAGGAAAGAAAGAAGGGGATGTTATTTGAAAATGTTTCGTTCGTTACCATCAAGATGCCATAATGGAGACGTACTGAGATAATTCGTGGCACGATTGCAAACGACGTGAACGTCAGGAGAGAATATCTTTTCACGTTCATGCACGACGAAATCTCGTTGTATTAATTAGCGCACGTTTGTTGGTGCCTTGATGTTCCCAGGCGGTGCTTCCGTCATCGCCAGACTCCTTTACCGAATAATATTGTCGCGAAGGTACTGAATACTTAATAGGCACGTCGCTAGACAATAGGCTATTAGAACACGAACCAGTATAGTGAGTCACAGGAGGATACCTTAATAGACAATTAATAACAATACACTGGATTCAGCCTATTGTTGTTCAGTCGATCGTCTCGCGTTCTTGGTATTTGTTCTTACGTTTTCAAGAGAATTCATTGTTGCTTGTTGTTATGTAGCCTGGATGAACTAAACAGGACATCTGAAATAACTCTTTTATTTTAAAAGATGAAAAACGATGTTTGAGGCCTCGGATTGACTTCAGAGGGGATGTAGAGGAAGGAAGGCGCCATTTGTTTGGTTATAAGTAGATAAAAAAAATCGAGAATAAAAAAATTAATCCAGATACATCGTGATTGCATCGTTGATGAAGCCATAATTACTAACATGAATTGTAAAATTGATTCAACACGGTGACTTTTGCTACAACTGGTCCATTCAGCTGCGAAAAGGTTAATAAGTTTATAATCGGAGTGGTTCTGTCGTTAACAACAATGATACATTTCTGTCGATGATCGATTCAGCTCGATGGTTGTTCCATTATTATTCACCACGGTTCTTCGTGTCCTTATTTCTCGTAAATTTACTTCCATACTCGCTGACAATGGACGCAGTACAATGTAGTCAATATCGCTGGAGGTAACGATAGCCAATTATTCGTCAGACATTTACCATGGTATTCAGTACCTTCTACGGGAGACTGCACCCTAGAAAGGAATCCAACGAAAGTCATCCAGAAATATCGTGACTGCATCATTGGTGAAGTAATACGAGGCTTATGCGAGGTGTAAAATGGTAATGCTGTTCACTGTAAGATAAATGGAAATTCTTTTAACGTTAGACGTCTAATCCAAGTTCTGTTCGGTACTCTCAGTACCAAGTTTTCTTTGCCAGTTGTTTTACAGAGAAACGTTTGCAGAGTGCATTTTTCGCAACGATTAGAAGTTTTATATATCGAGGAATTTTTAATCATCTACGAAGTAAGTTGTATTTCATTTTTCACCACGATGAATATTGTTCAGTTATTTATGTATTTATGAATGAACTAGTAATCGAGTTAAATGAAAAGTGATTGACCTGCCAGAATGTACATGATATTTCCATATAAAAACGTGGATTATCTTGGGAAGTTGATGAAGTCTATGAAACATTTCCTAAAACATGTATTTAGATGTATATAATAAAAGGGATAAATACAGATTCGTTTCTAAGAAAAAGTTCATCAATAGAAGTAAGTGTATTTTAGTTTTTGTATTATTAAGGTACATAAAAACATTCTGTAAAAGGAAACGTCTAGACGTAGATTCATTTCCGTGGAATTAATTCCCAAAGACTGTACTTTGGAGTAATTGACTACCTAGTAGTTCTGGAGTGAATAATCCCTCGACTTCTTTCGTTACTTCGCCTACCTTTCATCGCTTCGTTCCCAGAGCTCTTCGTTTTCTCGATTCGCGGCAAGGGTTAAAAGCCAAAGATCACTATCGATCTGCGCCATTCAACGGCAGAAGAAATGTATATTTGCTGGATCTTGGGATCCAGCCGAACACGGTGGATCGAAAAGGCGGATGGCAGGTTCGCTCGCACGAAATCAATCGACTTTAATTAGATTTAATTAAAGTGAGGAATGAACTGGTAACGCCTTTTTCCTTACCCTTCCCGTTCGCTGCCCTCCCTTGACGGACGGGGGAACTCTTGACATAATTTATGCGCGAGGCGCACACCGGCCTTTCTTCGACAGTTAAATTACTTTTGGTTATTGCGGCGCGCCGTAGTACAGTCAGGTCGATCCTTTACTACTGACAAGGAACATCCATGAACTCCCTCTCTCCCCATTTTAGTGAAACTTTATAGGTATTACAGTGGCCAAGAATAAGGATATGAATCTTTTTTTTGTTTAGCTCAAGTTTAAGGGGTTACGTCACTTTTGCAGTGAACGAGAATAAAAAGTTTGCGTTAAATGATAGTGTATATGTACACTCGTGTCTTTTTCTTTGAGATAAACGGTTTCGAAAGAATAGTGTGTCACTTGATACAGTTAATTGCGAAACGATGTTGGATATCATTTATCATACATAAAAAAGAAATGAATAAAAAAAAAATTGGAATGAAGGCAAGGGCAGAAAAAGAAGCTAGGTGATAAATGTAAACCAATTGGAAATAAAAAAAAGTCAAACAAAGTCACAATAAGAATAACAATTATTTTCAACGTGCTTGCATTGTTTCCTTTTTAAGATGAAGATCTAAATACTACCCAAAAATATTTTTTATTTTTACAATACATCCTGGAGATCTATTACAAAGTTGTATCTTTAATTTCAGGGTATAACACGTATACAAATGTATAGAAACGTATACATATGTGTACTTCTGTTTCTATTACTCTAAAAATAAGATATCCTTTCCTTTTCTTTGTTTGGTACTTTTGCGGTTTAAACTTCCTACTCCACGACTTGTTTCTTCCCTTTTGCCATGTTTATTACTGTTTCACTTAAGTCTATACGTTCTATTAGAGATATATTATTTCTTACCACGTTTGAAAATAGCTGCATAGGTCGTATTTTTAATCGACTTCGAAAAGGAGGAGGTTACTCAATTCGACATGTATATTTTATTTTTTTTTTTTTTTAATGTCTGTTCACCGATTACGCCGATATGGCTTAATGAATCGGAGTGAAACCTCTTGCATCTTGTCGAATATTTCTTCCATTTGGTCGCGTAAAAGAAACATTTTGTGATTTGTCATTTTTTACCCGTTCTTTTTTTAAACAGAAACATTTTGTCTTGCTTCTTAGTCCGTGACGAAAGGACCAATCAGATTGAAACTTCTTGTATCTGGAAGAGCATTTGATAGTGCAGATTACTCTGTCGGTAATGTGGAGAGCTCGGTCGACAATGCAGATTACTCTGCCGACAATGCAGAGCGCTTGGTCGATAACGCAGATTATTCTACCGATAATGTAGATTGCTCGGTCGGTAATGTAGTGTACTCGGTCGACAATGCAGAGTGATCGGTCGGTAATTAATAGTTCTCTGTCGGTAATGCAGATTGTTCTGTCGGTAATGTAGAGTGCTCGGTCGATAATGCAGGGTGCTCGGTCGGTAATTCACAGCGCTCGGTCGGTAATGCAGATTGTTCTGTCGGTAATGTAGAGTGCTCGGTCGGTAATTCATAGTGCTCTGCCGACAATGTGGATTGCTCGGT